TGAGGGGTGAATCTTTAAGAGGGAATCACTGCAGAATCAGAGTTGCAGCAATACTATTGCAAGCAAGTCTGAATGCTTAGTTTTACTTTAATTTGGTTTGACAATTTGAATAGGTAACCCCCTCGGGACTGACTGAATCGTTATGCATGTGTCAATCAATGGGAGGTGTGCATTCTCTAGAAGTAGTTTTAGGTTGTTTGGTTTTTGTTTTGTTTTGTTTTTTGGTTTTGTTTTATTTTAATACAGGCTTTTTAGGCACTGTCATGTAGTGTGGAAGATTTAACTGTAGCAATGCTAAAGAGTAACAATTTGAGGAGAAGGAGAGGGGACATTATGGGAGTGGTGGAGACTCAAATGTTGAACCAATTATGTTTTGTTGTTGTTACTGTTAGTTGTTGAATTCTGAATGGTTTATAAAGTAAACTAGCTGGTTTAATGTAGCCAGCATTCTGGGCAGGCAGAACATATTCATTCTTACTGTAAATTCTATTTGCTGCTTCCAAAGGTGATGATTTTTAAGCAGACATGTTCTATATGGTCTGTATTTTAGAATCTGGTGCCCAGCCTATATCAGAGCTTACCTACCTGGCTCAGCTACCCACCCTTCATGTGGGAAAATGTAATCCACTGTTTAACATGGCTCACCCTCTCCACCCTGTCCTAGCGACCTTTTGTGGATGTGCTGTTAAGATTGTCTTGCTCAATAGCAAGGTGGTAGCTCTGCTTTCATTTTAAGAAAGTGGAGGCTGAGGGCATTGTATCAATACTGCTTCAACTCCAAGAATTTTTCCTGGTAAAATTAAAGGAAAGGTCTTGTTATTGATTAACCATTTTCTTATGCCTTGCTATTGACATATTCATGCTCTTTCTATGTCTAGTGGTTGAAAATGTTTGCATTTGTTCATTCTACTAATGGTGTGATTTTGTTTCTATATTATTAGACTTGTAACATTTTAAAATGTATTTCATTAAATTTGGATGGGATGTATGTCTAGCAATACGAGGTACTTTCTGAACTATTAAGGGAGGGGTTATATCCCCGTGTTGAGGTAAGATGATGGTCGTTTAAATTTTGTAATTTTTTTTTTTTTTTGGCCTGCAGGGATATTTTGTGTTCATGTGTCCAAAAAAATGGAATAAATTGGCATTCTTGTGCCAAAAGTTGTTTTTCTTGTCAATTGTCTAATAAATATAGAGTACACTGCAATGGCAATATGCATGGTTACTTTTTAAAAACAATTTCCTCAATTTGAGAAATTTGACAAAGAACAGCAGTGGGAAAACTTTGTGTTTTAAACTCCTGGGTCTCCCTATTTTAAAAAACTGCTATTTGGTATACAAATATTATGTGTCAACTAAAATTAAAATAAGACTTTAAAAAAAAATTGCTATCTGGGGATTTTAGAAGAGCTTCTCAGCAACATTTCATATATGAAAGCTTTCATAAGATTCTGCCGGTTCTGGGTACAGGTCTTAATGGGAAGATCTGTTTAAGTGATGTCTTGAGAAAAACCTGCAGTCTCCAGAGGGCAGTGTGCCACATACTTTAGAAGACTAACTGCTCCAGAAGAGAAGCTGCCCAAATTCCCCCAACCTGGGTTATCCCATCTCAGGCTTTTAAAAATTCTCATCAGCACAGCCCTTTTGCTAAGTCACAGCAGGGACTTAATTCCTCAGGGAATTAATTTTTAACAGAGGAGAGAGCCCTACATACAGCAAATTTTGCTAGAAGGTACCCAGCTACTTGGGAGACTGAGGCAGGAGGATCAGCTTAAGAGTTGGACTAGTTTGACCTTGTCTCAAAAAAAAAAAAAAGAAGATAATTGTTTTTTTCCATCAGCACAATTATCTTCTCCATATTTATCAGTTATCAGACATTTATTCTGAACTAGATACATGTCTGATCCATACTGAACTGGATACTCTGTCTGGGTGCTGGGAACATAGAAGAGTCAGAATTTAATTATTCAAAGAAATCATTGTGATTTTGCATGAGGTAGGGAAGGAGACAGCGAGATCAACACCATCTGGGTGACTGGATGTGTCAGCCACTTTATACGGACATCTTTTAAGTCCACCAACAATCCTTTGAGGTTGATAGTGGTATCCCCAATTTAATTATGAGGACACAGCTCCAAAGAGGTAAAATAGCACACAGTTTCTATTTTTAATTTTTGAAACGGAGTCTCACTTTGTCACCCATGGTAGAGTGCCATGGCATCACAGCTCAAGCAACCTCAAACTCTTGGGCTCAAGAAATCCTCCTGCCTCAGCCTCCTGAGTAGCACCTCCAGGTGCCAGCCACAATGCCTACCTATTTTTAGAGATGAGGTCTCACTCTGGCCCTGGCTGGTCTCAAACCTGTGAGCTCAGGCAATCCACCTGCCTTGGCCTTCCAGAGTGCTAGGATTACAGACATGAACCACCACACTTGGCCACACACAGTTTCTAAATGACAAAGCTGGAATTTTTTTTTTTTTTTTTTGAGACAGAGCCTCAAGTTGTCGCCCTGGGCAGAGTGCTGTGGCATCATAGCTCACAGCAACCGCTAACTCTTGGGCTCAAGCGAGTCTCCTGCCTCAGCCTCCCAAGTAGCTGGGACCACAGGCGCCTGCCACAATGCCCAGCTATTTTTTGGTTGCAGCCATTATTATTGTTTGGTGGGCCCGAGCTGGATTCGAACCCACCACCTTAGGTGTATGTGGCTGGTGCCTTAGCCACTTGAGCCACAGGCGCTGAGCCACAAAGCTGGAATTTGAATCTATACCTGTCTTACTTCATTACACCTGCTGTTGAATGTGAAATTACAGAATACTGTGAGGAATTTAAAAGAGGAAACAACTTTTGCTATGAGAAATCAGGAAAGACTTGACTGTGGTGGTAAATTTGGGGATAGATTCATGAAATATGAGGGAGAGTTTGCCAAACGGGCCAGGCACAGTGGCTGATGCCTATAATCCTAGCACTCTGGAACACTCAGGTGGGTGGATTGCTTGAGCTCACGAGTTTGAGACCAGCCTGAGAAAGAGCAAGACCTCCATCTCTACTAAAAACAAAAAAGTTAGCTGGCACCTGTAGTCCTAGCTACTCAGGAGGCTGAGGCAAGGAAAATCTCTTGAGCCCAAGAGACTGAGGTTGCTGTGAGCTATGATGATGCCACTGCACTCTACTCAGGGCAACAGAATGAGACCCTATCTCAAAAACAAAACAAAAAACAACAACAACAAAATGGTACCACTGAGAAAATGAACACAGGAGAATAATCACATTTGTGGGAAAGAGGAAGGGGATGAGTTCAGTTTCATACAAGCTGGATTTGAGGACTGGTGCATATGGACTGGAGATAGCGATCAGAGCCATCAGTATACAGGTGGTGATTAAAACCAATTAGATGTGTGCTCAGAAAGATCATGTAGAGAGAGAACAGATAAAAATATGGAGTCCTAGGGAACACAAATGTTTATATATTTTTAATTATTATTTTTTATTAAATCATAACTTGTACATTGATCCATTTATAGGGTTCAGGGTACTGCTTTGCTATATAATGTGAAATGCTTACATTGAACTAAGTAACACATCCATCACAATTATACTCATTTCTTAATAGTTTTGAAACTCTTTGTTGTAAAATAATTTTTGATCATCCTATACCTAGTAGAGGAATTGCGGGATTGAATGGTAGGTCTACTTTTAGTTCCTTGAGTGTTCTCCAAACTTTTTTCCAAAAAGGTCGTATTAGCTTGCATTCCCATCAGCAGTGTAGAAGCATTCCCTTCTCTCTGCATCCATGCCAACATCTGTAGTTTTGGGATTTTGTGATGTGGGCTAATCTTACTTAATCTTACTGGAGTTAGATGATATCTCAAAGTGGTTTTGATTTGCATTTCTCTGATGATTAAGGATGATGAGCATTTTTTCATGTGTTTGTAGGCCATGCTCCTTTCTTCATCAGAGAAGTTTCCGTTCAAGTCTCTTGCCCACATAGAAATGGGGTTATTTATTCTTTGTTTATTGATTAGTTTGAGTTCTCTGTAGATTCTAGTTATCAGACCTTCGTTGGAAGCATAACCTGCAAAAATCTTCTCCCATTCTGAAGGTTGTCTGTTTGCTTTATTTACTGTGCTCTTGGCTGTGCAAGAGCTTTTTATTTATTTATTTACTTTTTGTAGAGACAGAGTCTCACTTTAT